TATATATTTGGTAGATACCAATGAAGGAATAAAATGTAGCCCGCATCTTGTAAATGAAAATATGCACGACATGCAATACTTTCAGTACAACGGGCAATTTCCAAGAAGAAACACTTTATCTTTTTAAAATGGAAATATTTTGAATCAGGAGAATTTTTTTGCTGGCCTTAAAGTGCATCTATACTTCCAATTATATATATATACTTTTCATTCAATTAACGAGTTGAATTATTATTTTGAAAACTACCATGAAATTCCCTTTGCATTTTTGTAACCAAAAGGAACAAATTAACACTCGCTCAGTCTCATTTTTAGGCACTCGCAACAGGCTTAAACGATAATATAAATGCAAAATTCTTTATTCTATTTGAGGAATTCAACGAACATCGTTGAAGTGCGACTTAAATCTCTCATTTTCGACTGTTTGTCAAAGCAAACGACATTCAAATGGATTTAAGCCAAGTCATCTGTCTACCATGTTCTGTCTAATTTATGCTTTGGCCAAGACTTCAATGTGCGAAATTATTTATAGTGGAATTTTTGCTACACATCTGCAAAATCTTAAAGCCAAAAAGTGCTACATGTTTTTTGTTGCACACACATAAAAGGGCCAAAAACAACAACATTTTTAATAACAATTTGCGACAGAGAAGACGTCGTTGGGTTATTAAAAATCCACAGTTTGTTGTTAACTGTTTGCGCAAACGGAATATAAGAAGTGAAATTATGGATGCAAAAAATCGTTCTCACATATATTTGATTTGTATTTTTCCTTTAGTCTTCGTTTGCATTTTTTTTATCATTATTATCATTATTATTGTTTTCTGTGTGCACAAGACACATTCACATCAAAAGGCCGAAAAGCGAGAAATGTAAACAGCAGCGTGCTGTGGAAATTTTTAAATTTTTAAATTTCAAGAGCTCGATCTCTCCCCTGCACTAAATATCTTTGTCTCTGTCTAGCGACGCATTTTGTTTAAATAATTATATTGGTATTTGTACATACACGAATTTTGTCTCTATGTCGAGCCTGACAGCTAATAGGTTAATTATAAATGGTTGTTAAATTTGTTAAGGAAAAAGATCAGTTGTATGTCGACTTGTGTAGATAATATTGTTTATTACTTATTTAAAAATTGAAGACACCCGACAAGGCCTTTTTCTGAGACGAGTTCGATTGATAACAGTATATAAGAAAATTATTATAAATTAAAAACTTAATATGTACAACAAATATTATTATTAAATTATGTTATGGTAAAAGGCCCAAAACATTTCCTTTGGCTATAAAATTATTTTAAAAATGGTTGCAGATATTTCATGAATTGTTTGCGTAGCGCTTTGCAATACTGCAAAACGCCTTTGCAATATTTCAGAAGCTGTCAAACAAATTTCCTACAGAAGAGGCAAAAACACGCAGACAAATTGAATTAGCATAGCGCTAAATGATCACACGGGCTCTCTAACAAATAATTTAACAACAAAAACAACAACAGAGATGAAGAAAGAACAAAAAAATAATAATAATAATGATTTAGTTAGCGAAAATTTTTGGCCGAAATGGAAAATAAGATACACGCAAGTACATTTTGTGTCTGAGAACAGATACAAAGATACAGATACAGTTACAAATGTAGATACAGACACAGGTACAGATACAGATACAGATACAGATACAGATACAGATACAGATACAGATACAGATACAGATACAGATACAGATACAGATACAGATACAGATACAGATACAGATACAGATACAGATACAGATACAGATACAGATACAGATACAGATACAGATACAGATACAGATACAGATACAGATACAGATACAGATACAGATACAGATACAGATACAGATACAGATACAGATACAGATACAGAATACAGATACAGATACAGATACAGATACAGATACAGATACAGATACAGATACAGATACAGATACAGATACAGATACAGATACAGATACAGATACAGATACAGATACAGATACAGATACAGATACAGATACAGATACAGATACAGATACAGATACAGATACAGATACAGATACAGATACAGATACAGATACAGATACAGATACAGATACAGATACAGATACAGATACAGATACAGATACAGATACAGATACAGATACAGATACAGATACAGATACAGATACAGATACAGATACAGATACAGATACAGATACAGATACAGATACAGATACAGATACAGATACAGATACAGATACAGATACAGATACAGATACAGATACAGATACAGATACAGATACAGATACAGATACAGATACAGATACAGATACAGATACAGATACAGATACAGATACAGATACAGATACAGATACAGATACAGATACAGATACAGATACAGATACAGATACAGATACAGATACAGATACAGATACAGATACAGATACAGATACAGATACAGATACAGATACAGATACAGATACAGATACAGATACAGATACAGATACAGATACAGATACAGATACAGATACAGATACAGATACAGATACAGATACAGATACAGATACAGATACAGATACAAATACAAAGATACAGGGGTGGAGATATAAAGCAGATACAGGTACACAGTAACAGATACACATAGATACAGATACATTAACATGTATGTATGTACATATGATGCAGATACAGTTAAATTTACAGATAGATATAGGTATACATACAGATACACATTAACAGATACATATAGATACAGATACAGAGGTGGAGATATAGATATAGATATGGAAAAAAGATTGGGCGCGAAGTTTCAGAAACACATGGATAGACCGGCAGACAGACAGACAGACAGAAAGACGCACAAGCACACAAACATGGAACCACTCAGGGGCGGCCACAGCTATTTTTAGCACATTAGATGATAAGATTGTCGAGCCAAACGCGCAGAAATTTGCGGTTTCGGCGCAAAAAAACACACACACACACTAAAATTGATATACACATACATATGATTTTTTTGTATACGAGAGCCAGAAAACAAGTTTATTTTAGCAATATACAGAGTTTACACCCAGAAAATAAAATATAATAAAAACTGTTTCAAAAACACATCAATTTTTGCCATTGCTGCTCTTCTGCTCTCTTTTCTTTTTTGGGTAAAACGCGTTTTGATTTACAGCTTCGCTGCACAATGTGTTCAACTCGTTTTTGTCAGTTACAGCTGGATTTTCTTTTATAAAAATAACTTTAAATATATTTTTTAACAACTATTCAAGCAAAGCTTTAAAATGAGAGATTGCGCGACCGAGTTACGCCAGAAGGAAACCTCATCTTAGCTGCAGTAAAAAAAAAATCAGCTTTGTCTTTTGGTTCGGGATTGGAATCATATAAAATCTATATGTTAAAGGGTATCTCATAGTCAAGTATTCTCCAAGTAAACGTTTCTACTTGTTTTCACTTAATTTCCGTTTTGACCAATAAAATAAATTTTACCTAATTACAGAATTGTTTGCCTGTTGGGTTTTTTACCTGCTATTTTTAGAAAAAAATGTTTATGAAAAACATGATCTGAACTTTTCGGATTTCGCAAGTACCTTATTTTTAAGTTTTAAATAAATATAGTCTTAAACAAAAGTCCGGATATCAAGCAAGATAAATATATATCGGATGCGTACGGCAAACAAATCCATTTAAAGCAGAATTGGGAAGACTCGGCATCGACCGACTACGCAATACTCTGTTCATGACTTAATCCCACCAAGAACAGGCGAATAACTAATGTATTCTGACTTAAAATTATGAACAAATAGATAATTTGAATTCTAGAATCATCTATCTTCTCTAGGATTATAAAATATCTATTTATGAAAAGCTTAAAATCTCGACATTCAATTGGAAATCAGTTTCTTTTAAGCATGTTTCGTCTTTGAGTTCGACGTTCGTATATCAAAAGTATTTTATTATGAAATACAAGTGCGTTGCCGTGAAGCAGAAAAACACCTGTTCAACTTTGTGTTTCAGTTGAGCGGAAAAAAAACTCTGCAACTGGCATTTATCCGTTGGTTGATTAAAACCACATGTATTACTTAATATTTGCATTTGCAAGTAAACAAGACGCCAAAAAGATAAATGCAAAGTCGATTTCATATACGAAGCGTATATAAAAATTTCCACTGTCTGTGACCAAAAATAAACATCTGCAGATTTTGGCGCCGAATATGCTGTCCATTTACACTGGTTCTAAGTACAGTGAAAGCTCTTTAGAGCTCCATTGGCAGGATATCTCATTGTCAATATGTTTTAATTTCCATTTTTTGTCCCCTCCTTAACTTTCCTCCTTCGGACAAAGTGCGCTCTCTTAGCCAAAATGCTTCAAAAGATTCATTTTTGGGACTGGAACTGAAGGTGTCCGTTCAAGGGAGCTTTCACAGTGCACATATACACACATATTTGGAAAGAAAGCCAAACACATTTCAATTTACATTTCGTATGTAAACAAATAGTGTGAAAATAACTGCAATCCCTGGGTAAACCAATCCAGGAGCAACCAGACTCGGAATCGGAATCAGAGTCGGAGCCGATGCCGGTGCAGCAGAAGCAATTGGAGCGAATCTGGTCACAACAAAGATGCATTATCAAGGTTTCCATTCATGAAATGCAATGCGTCTGACCTCTAACTCAGCTTGCTCCACGGCTCCATAACTGCTAGCTTTGGAAATCCCAACTGGTTTCAAGATATACATTTTCATGAAATTAATATAATAGTAATTATACACGAAACTCATTTCCACCCAAAGCGGTGGATTTTCGCCAAAAATCAGCCTAATATGTTTCGCTCAAAGTGTCTGTCATTTTACTTCGTTTTTAAATTCGATTTATACTACGATCTAAATTGTATCCTTGCTCCCATTCCAAATCGTTCCGCATTTGAATATTATAAATTCTTACAATTTTCGAATAAATATCAACAAAGGCAAGATCTTATAGAACATATATAGTAGAAACAAAGGCGGATGGGTTACTCACATTATTATTGGATGGCCTTGTGCGTTGCTTGGCACGATCACGCAATTTGTTGTCCTCTCTCTCTCTCTCTCTCTCTCTCTCTCACATACACTCTTTTACTCTCTCGCAGAGCGCACTGCGACGCCTCCCACGTTGCTCTGGTTTACAGTTATGTAGATAAACCGTTTGCTTATTGAATTTCTTCTTATTGTGTGATTTACATTCGTGTTACATTCGCACAGTGTTGTAAATTCTTCTAAATGCCTTTGGTTTTCGTTTTGATTGCTTAGCACTTGTTCACTTTGTTGTGGTTTTTGTTATTATCGCGCCGCAATTGGGTTTGTTATTGTCGTATATATTCGATTGGGTATTTATTTGTTTTGTTTTATAAAATTTGCTTTTGAATGAAATATATTATAGTTAATGATATGCATTTTACTTAGTACTCATATATACATATATATATATATACATATATATGCATATTTATATATACACACTTTCACAAAAACAACAAGCATGTAGATAAAGCAGAGCGACCAGAGCGAGACAGCGCTAATGATGATTTTAGCGGTAAATTGACTAGAAGAGTAAGAACATGCATTGCAAATGGGAGAAAGAGAGAGATGAGACCAAGGATAGACATAAGACATTCTAGAAATGTACATTTACCAGAATTAAAAAACTTAACTCCAAATCTCTTTAAATAAATAAGATTAGTTTGATTTAAACGTGGACCTATTTATATGGGCGGCATTTTGCTTCATAAGCTATAAATAAAAGTCTAGAAATTAAAACTTGGTAGGGTCGAGAAACGAACCTCAAAGCAAGGCCTGTAGATATTAATGCATTGTATGCTTGAATGTGCATGTAACTACCCTCAGAATGATTTCTATTTTAGATTTGTCCCTAGCGACATTGGCAAGAATGGAAAACTCATAAGCAATTGTATGCATGTATATTCTATTAAAATTTATTTGCATGGGCAACTTTTTACAGCCTAGATAAAGATGCTTTGCATTCGGTTTCGAGTGCGTTTATCATGAGTTTTATTATATTTACATTTTCAGCTCGATGGTTTCTCCTATCTTTTTCCAGGAGCGCCTAAAAAAATTCACTCAATTCGTTTATTTTTTTATGCCAAGCGTTTTTCCGCATGTTTTGTGATTCCATATACACACACGCACATACACATTTATATGAAGATCGTAACGAAAGAAAGAAAATGAGAGAGGGAGAGAAAGAATGCTACTGCAACAGAAGCGGAGAGCAACAAAAAATACTAAATATTAATTATCAGAAATTAGTAGATGTGCAAATATTCTTATTAACACATTTTGTTGTTTTCTGTTTTACAATCAAATTTTACAAATATATCACAAAACGAAACACACACATATACACGCATACGCATACGATCTGCTGAGCATTTGAAAATTGTTGCATAAATATTTTAAATGTTTTTGTTATTATTTTTTGTTTTTTTTTTTGTTTTTACTTTGCTGTCGTTGTTCCAGAAACAAGAAACACACCGAACGATGGCGCACTCTTTTGCCCCAATCAAAATATACAATAAACATACATACATGCGTACATATGTGTATGTATATATCTCGTTTGTGTATGTATGCGTGCACAAAGGCTGCAATCCGTGAAGACCAACTTGAAACGCAGGCGAATAGAATAATACTGAAAAGCGTGGAGCAAAACGAACGCTAAGGTGGCCCCAACCTCACGCTCAGAGAGCGAGAGCGCAATCACAGACAGGCAGGCAGATCAAGCAGAGTTGTTGCTATTGTATGCGTGAGCAACTTTTTGCCTGCCGCTCACTGGTACAAATGCAAACACACACACACAAAGATACAGACTTACATGCAGACAACAGGCATCTGCAGCGAAATTCTATTTTTAAACTTAAATTAATATTGTTCTTTATTTTATCAGCAGCAGCGCGAAAATAAAGCGTCAACTGCGGCTGCTGCGACAGCCACTCTCTATCTCTCTCTCTCTCGCCATTTACTTATGTAGGTGTAAATATGTGTGTGTGCGTGTGTGTGGGTGTGCAGCTGAAAACCAGAAAACAAATAAATAATACAACGAAACTAAACGCGCTCGTGTTGTTGCTGTGGCTTAGTTAATGCTAATCAGCGAAGTCAACGGCAACGCGTGAGATATCAGTGCCTACTAAGTGGTTATGTGTGTGTGTGTGTGTATGTGTCTTTGAGCGAAGCAGGCAAAAAGCGAAGCTCAAATGCTCGCTCTGCTCTTTGGTTGTATTGTGGTTGATATTGTTGTTGTTGTTGCTGTATATGTCGCCTGCTCTGCTATCAACGCTTGATAAGAAATGCGTTAATCTTTATTATGCGCGACGTAGGCAGCGCAGTTAAGCTGCATACAAACACATGCATATGCACTGCATATGTACATATGTATTTGTAAACGAATATGTGTGGCTGAGTACGTTTGAAGCTTTAAATTTGTTGACATTTCCGCTAAGAATTTGCATTAGGTTAAAGAAAATCAGAAGCAAATGTGATTTATTCGCATAAAACAAAACATAAGCAACAATAGCGAAAGGAAAGAAATAGCGCTTGAGAGAGCAGCAACAACAACTTGTTGATGATTCAACAGTTAAACACTTCTGACTGTGGGGCAAAACAAAAACTGTGTATACATAAAAAATATAGAATTGGAAATGCAGCGCCAGCAAATTCCTGGGCAGAGGACAGCTCAGCTGTTTTATCTGCCCCACGGCAAATTCAGTACAAAAATCAAAATGCCGCAAGAATTACTCACACACATTAAGATAAAGCGGGAGAGAATGACAGACTGAGAGGGAGAGTGTGAGAGAGAGAGAGAGCAGCAGCAACGCTTCTTATGCTCACCGATAGTGAGAGTGATCTGTTGCTTTATCAGCGGCAGGCGGCTATTTTTAGACAAGCGTAAGATCGACCACAAAGCAGCGACCACCAAAAATACAAAATAAAAATACAAAGTTTGCAAAAACATATCGTGTTTGGTGTTTGTTTTGACAAACAAATAAATTAACTTAAAAATGCAACAGTTTTCAATAAGGCAACACTGGTAGATAGAGAGAGGGCGAGAGAGCGAAAGAGTGGTGCACATTACTGTTGTTATTTTGAATGATTATCCCGCAGGTTGCGTGTGTGCGTGCTTTCTATACATGTGTATAAGTGTGTATGTGGGCGTGATAATGCACAAATCAAATGCAACAAGAAACAAGCAATGCCCATTCGCAGCAGTCAACGAGATAAAACTGAGCTTAGCAGCGAAATGTAAATACTACCACAACAATATAAGACGCAAACAGTTAAACAGCATGGACAGTAACTGCAAAAACTACAACAATCGTACCGAAAGATGCATATGCCTAATTTTTGCAGAACATGATGCGCATAATTTATGGCAAACTCTTCTGATGTTTATCACTGTTGCATTTTCTAATCGCGATCGCACTTCAACGAACACCGAATTCTAGTTGCGGTGATGTCTGTGATTTGCAGTTTCACATACTATAATGTAATATAATTTGCGTTAGCGGAGATTTTAATAAGAAACGCGAATTATTGTTTCATATAATCGAAATTTTTAAACGCACCACTTTTTGAGATAAACTGAAGCAATAAAATAGTCCGCGCACATAAGTCACGCGACGACGACCGAAAGAAACAAACTGCCGGTTAAATTTGATGCACTGCACAAGCCGTGAGCGCCGCTATCGATTGCGCATTACTTTTCGATGCCACCTATCGAGTAATCGATAGTTTTGCGCGCAATTAGTGTGGTCGCAAATTTTTATACTAAGAAATCTACCACAAAAAAACTGTTTTTTGAAATCAAATAAATGTAATAAATATATATATATATATACAGATTTGTGCGCCTTTCACATCAAGATATTATTTATACCCGTTAACATGGGCCGCTCATTAGGACCTTTTATGAATGTGCCCCACACTTGCAAAAATTCACTTCGTCTGCGTAATTTCTTTGGCCGTGAAATGCCAATATTTATGTTTTGCTTTGTTAGGTGCACCGGTCCATTAAAATTAATGTGATAGTGGCTGTGGGTGACATACACGTTCTGCGATGTTGAAGACGAAGACTCGGGACACTGCACCACGGAAAGTCCACTAGATTTCATGGAAGCGGGCTGCTTCCACATTACCACGCCCGAAGATTCGTCAGTATTATGAAAACTATCCGTATCAGAACCGCTGAAACTGCCGTTGGATGGATTGCAGCGTAGCTCAGTGCAACTACTTATGCTGTTGCTGTTGACAGCGCGCAGTTCCTGAAGCAGCTCACGACAACGCGCCTGCAAATCATTCAACTGCTCTCTCAGCTCGACATTTTCCTGTAGAATTTTAGGCGAAATTTCTGGTTCGCACACTTTCTTCACTTTCTTCACTTTCTCCACTATCTTAGCTTCCTCCACGGTCTCCACGTCCTCTACTCTCTCCACGGACTCCACTGTCTCCATAGTCTCCAATGCCATCACGGTCTCCATAGTTTCCATGGTCTCCATGGTCTCCACGGTCTCCATTGTCTCCATAGTCTTCATGGTCTCCACGGTCTCCACGGTCTCCATGGTCTCCATGGTTTCCATGGTCTCCATGGTCTCCACTGCGTCCACGTTCTCCACGGTTTCCATGGCATCAACTTCCTCCACGGTGTTCACTGTCTCGACTGTCTCCACTTTGTTATCGTTTTCTTCGCTGGGTTCGATCGGCATGCTTGCGATAAAAGGAAGTGCAAGTATTTCTTCATCCCTTTTCATACAAGTTTGTGCCTGCAACTCTAACCACTGCAACAGTTTGGACAGCGCCACAGTGGTAATAAGGACAAGTCCGTAGGTTTTGAGCATATCAAATAAACGATCTATAATGTTATTTTGTTCCGGTTGGCTAGCACAATAATTTGGCACATCTCCGAGGGTGGGACGCTCTAAACATACGATTAAATTAAGTTCAATTCAAAAGGGTCCTAAGCACAATTACCTGTATACAGTTCCACGATGTAATCTGATTTAGTTGGCAGCTCCTCTATGGCGTGTAAATAGCATAACAACGACCACGAAATAAACGCCAAGGCGCACAAAAACGTAAAACTTATGTTTTGAAACATATTGCCCCCTAAAATTTTAAGAAGGTTTTTTATAACATGTGTCTGCTTTTAAAACTATAAACAAGTGTGTAAATTGTTTAAATTTTCTGTACAGACGAAACAAGTGACAGAAATGAAAATGAAATGCTATAGCAAAACAAGATTGTGGAATTTTAAAATAAAACGTACGACTGAACGCATAAGTTATCGATTTAGTTTCATTTTGAACAACATATCGATATATCGATAAGTGCACTTGTCGGCGCGCATTGTGAGTGCCGCAATTGAAACGTGCAGGTTTTTTTTTGTATAAACACACTTTAAAATGGAGTTAATGGTATGTTGATTAAAATAAAGAATATTTTAAAGCAAACAAATATAATCAATACACATAGCATGGCGCTTCGATGCTCTCAAGACCAGCCGAGGAGTTCGGGAACGATTCTCTCGTGGAGGAAATGTGGGCTGCCAAAGCGCTCGAGCATGCGGAAGTGCATTTCAATGTAAGTATAATAAATTATCAAACTATAAATGTATATATAACACACTTAACTTTCGCTTAGTTGCTGACCAGCGTGCCGCCCGCACAGCTGCGCCTAACGCCCTACGATGATCAGATCTATGCCACCTTCCGACAAGACTTTCCCGATCTGCAAGTGGCTCGCCTCAGCGATGAAATACTCAAATCGGCCACAGAGAAGCTCAAGTGGCGTCAATTCGCCGAGAAATTTAATAAAATGGAAGACTATTCGTACGGCACTCTGATGCGAGCCGATGCCAGCAAGGAATTCTCACCAGACAACTCAATATTTGTTTTTCGCGTCCAATTTTTGGCCATTGAAATTGCGCGCAATCGCGAAGGCCACAACGATGAGGTACACAACAGGCACAGGCCGGCAAAGAAACCTCAGATCAACTCCGAGACGGCTCAATGATGAGTTTCAGAAGCTGTTTAACTTGTCTGTCAGTTAGTTTAGGTTTAAAGTAAATCAATTTGCAGCATTTGTTGGCTGTAAGGCATGCCAAGCATTGCACTAAGTAAATGCTTCTGTTTCTTTTCTTTATAATATTGCAGGTCGTTTTCTACTGCTACTCTACAGTAGAATCTGATTGCTAGAATCTGAATCTAATTGGAAAATACGCCAATAAGAATCAGGCGCAGATCGTACAAATTGCAAGTTAGATTCAACTTTTTTAGCAGAAAAATGAATTTCCGCAGTGTATAATGCAATAATGTATTAATATATAATTTATGTTTAAGCTATAGCTAAGTATTGTCCGCACTAGGCGCAAGTTTGCCACCCCCCTCGCTTGCTGCCACCCATCAGTCTTACTTTGTGTCTGCGGTGCCTACAGCCCGTTGCTGTTGCACATCATCAGTATGAAGGGTATCATCGCATCGATTTGCATTTGCCCCACCAGATTGGCAAAGAACAGCTCCTCGGTCAGCTCCGACTCCAGTACGCTTAGCGGCAGGAGACTAGCAAACAGTCCATTCGCGCGCTCCTCGCCGCCGCTTTGGCGGCGCAGCGTGGAGAGCGCATAGAGCTGGACCCGCTTTATATAGGCGCGCAGTGAACGCTCACGTCGGTTCTGCTGCAGCATCAGCGGATTGAAGAGCAACACCAGACGCAGCAGGCCGAACTCCAGATCTGTCACATCCTGTGTCTGCAACTCCTGCACAAAATCGTGCAGTGTGCGCGTTATTTGCGCCAGCTTTGCAATCTTTTGCGGCTCAATTTTATCAATGTCCGCCACTTGGCGCACGCTCTGCACCAGCTGTCCAATGATCGTGGGCACGGCCAACTGGCGCTGGCATTGGGCCAGGGCCACAGCCAGCAATGCGGGCCAAGCGCCACGCAGCAGCTTCATCTGTGTGTGCGCGTCCAGCAGCTCAAAGGCAGGCACCTTGCGCAGCGTGTGCACGGTCAGAAAAATGATCCTGGCGCCCGTTTCGCATACATAATGCATATTGAGATATGAATGGACTAGTGCCGGCGGCTGCACGTGGAACGCACACTGCGCCTCGGACGCGAACAGATCCTGGGCAAAAATTGCTTCGTTAGCCACAAAATCGCCACGACTACAGTATTCAAAGTCCAAGTCCATGTGCTCCACAAGATCGGCATCAACATCCTCCGTTCCGCTGTCCTCCGCATCCGAATCGCATTCGGGTTTAATGCTCAGCGCAGCCGCTGCTGTATTCTGGCCGCCTTGATTCCTGTCCAGTTGCTGCTGTATGGGCTGTAGCAGTTGCAGCGCCTTGTCTATGGCACGCTTGTCCATCGAGCTTTGTATGAGACCAACCGTGGCGGGTGTGGGCAGCGCTGTTGCATCAGCAGCGGCGGCAGCGGCAGCTGCTGCATTAAAGTTTAAATGCTGTGAATTATTATTGCTGGCGCTATTGGCCAGCAGCTGCAGGCACAAGGTGCTGCTGTTGTCCATCGAATCATCTTCATCCTCGTCCAGTTCCGGCTTGGCCAGTTCCGGTGAATAACAGTGACTGGGCGCATTGCTGCTTGCCGCCTGCTGCTGTTGTTGTTGCTGCTGCGTGGCGAGCACTGAAAAATTGACATTTCTTATTGGAAGCCAATCTGCTGGAGGGCTGCACTTACTCAGGGTTTGTGTTAGCTCTGCAAAGTTGAGGCTCATGGGGAATAGATTCTCGCTTAGCCCAAAGGGCGTTGTTGCCGTGCTGGCCGGGGGCGTGGCTGCATGCTGAAACAACGCAGCGCTAGCCGCCGATGCGGCTGCCGCAGCTGCCGCCGAGGCATGTTGCTGCTGCTGCTTCACACGCACCTGCTGATAGCCGGACTTGCCAGCCGCAGAGCCACTGGAGGCGCCCGCAGTGCTTGAGGAGCCAGAGACGCTGCCCGTTGCGCCAGAGACGATTCCATCTTTTCTATCCACAATGGGTTTGCGTTCGTGCTGCACGGCTGCAGATGGTGGCACAGAAAATCGAAAAGAGAAAGCAATTAGCGAGTGTTGCAGTTAAATAACGGTACATGATGTGCTGCATATGGTAGAGGTGTGTATGTGTGTGTGTGTGTAAATAAGCGTGCGTGAATATGCAGGTAACCAGGTGTGGGTGAGTGTGTGTACAAGCAAGCGTGATGCATGTATGTGTTAGTATTGGGGCATGACAACATTTGAGTTTCGAAGGAACAAATACATTAGGTTCAGGTAATAATAATCTTTGTCTTGAATTATTTGAAATTGTTTTTGAAAATTCAATATGTTTAAGTATTTATAATAATAATAATAAAGAACAATTGGTCTAGCAAAGAAACAGGAAGAAGGACTTTATCGGATCAGCTGGTGATAATGATGAAAACAATATATATAGACGATATATGTGATCGAAAAGCTACACATTTTGAAAACAATTCATTGAAAATCGTGGAAAATCGGATTTCCTACCTGGTGGCAACTTATACAAATTGCCAGGTGGCAGCTCTTAAGCTTATAACAATCTAATCAGAACTCAAGTAAATAGGAGTTACCAGATTCGCACTCAAACTGCGAGCATCGTTTCACAAAATAACATGTCATTTGCTGTGCGTGTGTGTATGTGTGTGTGTGCATGCGTGTGCTTTGGGTAAATGAATGTGAGGGTGTGTGTGTGGGGTGCGTGCAGTTGTGGTTTTTTGGGAGATTTTGAGACGACGACTTAAACGAAAATTACAATCACTTCGCATGCCGCTGGCCAAACACTTTTGAAGCCGACAGAATTGACACCTGTTGCGATGGTGTTTGGTCACCTCACAGTTCATGGCCCCTCGGCACTGATAGCCCAGCTGCTTGCGTATGGATCGCTTGAAGAAGCCCTTGCAGCCTTCGCAGCTGATGGCCCCATAATGACGGCCGGACGCTCGATCGCCACACACAAGGCACAGCTCCACGGATGAGAGGGAAGCGGCGGCTGCAGCGGAGCTAGCGGCATTTCCGGCTGCAACGGCTGCTGCATTGCTGTTGCTGCTGCTACCGGTTGGGTGATTCAAGCCCATTGCACGGGGCTCTGTAACCAGAAAAAAAATAAAAGCAAGAACAACACATTATTACACGCATTAGCAGAGTTGGGCGTACAAGTTTTCAGCTTGGCTCACCTTCAGTTTTAATGCCGCTGCTTGTGCCCATCATAAAGCCCAAGTGAAGACTGCAAGCTGTTGCTTCTTTGTGTTAGTTTGCCTTTTAAGAACTTGTTTTTCGTGGCGACTGTGTGCTTATGTGTGTGTGTGTGGATGTCTGTGCGTACGTGCGCTGCTTACTTGAGTTTAATTACACGACTGGCAAATGTTTTAAAAACATTGTTTTCGAACTCAAACCAGCAATTATTATGTTTACTTTACACTTTCGCCTTTAATGTGTATTTATTCAACTATTTAAAGCCATTTAAAATGAGCTTTTGAGCAGCAGCGAAAATCTTTAACCTTTCGATAAAAAAATTCAACTTAATGGCAACGCTCTAATATGGTGTGACCAGCTCATTTGTAGTGGCAAATACCTTCTATCGAAAGTTGCACTTATACATCGATAATAAAATAAAAATAATCGATACTGGCCCCCACGATAAGTTTAGCTGGAGTGCACAAGTTTAAAAATATGCGCCATTGCTAGTTTTTTTTTCATTTGATTTTTAAAAATACGATTCGTTTTACAAATAATAAGATTACACAATAAAATACAACGTACAAATTACTTATTTACTTAAGTTTTCTGTGAAATGAATTACACTTTTTTGGTCTTACAAACGATTAGGCCACAAATTGCTCTCAAAAAATAGCTGATTGCAGTGGGAAGAGGTCCAAAAATGGAAAATTTAAAGCGCGGGTAAACGAGGGAAGCGCACATCTTTATCCTACACACATTTCGCGATACAATATATCAGCTACCATCATATAAGTATTAACTACAGTCGGTTCACATTATTTATTCTTTAAGCCCATTGCACGTTTGGTGGCGCGTCCAAGGAAGATGCCCGTCAGAAAGACCAAGCCCGTGGCGCTCATTAATATCACAAGGAAGAACTTTCGTGCCGGCGATGTAACCACCTGTTGCACCAGCTGCTGCATGTCCTCCGGTGGCTGGGCTAGCGCATCGTCCGCATTGCGAAACATTTCGATGCGTCTCTCCAGCTTCTCACGGCAATCCAACTCCAGGGAGTTCGGCGTCTCGCGCAACAGTGTGCGTAGGCAACTCAGTTCTAGACGAAGACATTAAAACACATATTAAATATGACGATTTGTAAATGTTATTACTCCACTTACTACGTCCGTCGCCGCTGATGACTTTGCTGCAGTAACGCAGTAGATCCACAGTGCATGACGATTCCAGTATGGGATCGACGTGTATATCCGCCTTGGCCTCGGCTATCAGAGTGGCCACCTCCAGTTGGCACTCGCGATTGATGAGTTGCTTGCGCAGAAAGGCGGCCTTCAGGCATTCCTCCACCTGGCCATGCTCATCTGCTTCCATATCCGCGTTGCACAGTTCCTGTATCTCAGATTTGCAAAAGTGCTGGAGCACAGGATTCAACTTATAGTTTAATGCCTGCTCCTGCAGTATTTTGATCATTTCCTGGGCACATGGCCTATCCAATTTCGATTGCCTGAATTTGTCCTTTAAGCATTTAATAACCTATTTAAACGAGAGTAAACAAAACGTTTAAGACTTAATTGCTCGAATAATTTTGATTGACTGCGGTAACTGATTTTCACAATTTTCCGAATTTTATATGGAATTCGTGTTCGTGAGCTCAGTTGAGAGACGTGTTCGCGGCGATAACGAAACGTTAGAAACGATCGCAATTGACGAGCGTGTTGGATCGTCCGCTGTTTATAGTCAGTTCAGTCTGATGCGTAGACGTGTCGTATACGTGATGTTAGCTCTTTGCGGCCTGCTATTCGCTGGCCTCGCCGGCTGGTTGCTGGTCTCAATGAACGCTTTAGCGGATGCAGCTGTGCCAATGTCAACGGTGACAGTGGACCTCGCTAATGGGCAGGGCGCAGTGCATGGAAGTTACGGACAGACAACCTGGACGGGTCAAAGTTTAATGCAATTTCGTGGTATACCCTTTGCCGAAGCGCCCATCGGAGATCTGCGTTTTCGTGTGGGTTGAGAGTCCAATACTTCAGCGTCTAGTGATACTGAGCCACTTAACAAGAGCTGATAAACGACCTTTATGACGTTCATTAAAATCATATAAATTTGTACCTCTCCCTGTAAAACAACACAGCCACCTGTTGCCCGCTCGCCCTGGACTGAGACATACGATGCCTTGGACTTTGGACAACGCTGTCCGGTGATAACCAATTTGGATGCTCAGACGCCGGACGCTCAGCTAGAGGATTGCCTAAATCTATGCGTCTACACAAAAAATGTAAGTGATATCAAAATACGATATTTCGATTTTAAAGCATTCCCGATTTTAAATATATTCCCCATGAGAAGCATGCACAATTACAGCTTGAACAAATAAATCATTGCCAGAAAGCATATAAATTAATATATGACTTTAAACTTAATGCTAAAACAGACTAAAAATACAATAAAAGGTAAAAACAAAGACGTGCAGCTGTTTAGGAAATTGCAAAGCTGAGGCATTGTGCTTTCTTAAAATGAGCATTTACAAACTGGTGCAAAAACCGTTTGAGAATATTAATCGAAAAAAATAATTTTATCAGAGGCGGATTATTAATTTATGTAACTATACGACCTCAAGTATCATCAAGACATAGATATAGGTCTATCATAGCAGATATGCACTAATCCTGCCTCATTTGCTACCTTCTGAAAATCGCATAGAAAGGCGATTTATATTATATTCACACGCTTATTATTTTCTGGACAGCTCACCGCTCGTCAGCCAGTGATGTTTTATGTTTATGGCGGTGGCTATTACAATGGCTCCTCGCAAGATCATCCACCAAACTATTTGCTGGAAAGGGATATCGTTTTGGTGGTGCCGCATTATCGCATCGGCGCCTTGGGCTGGCTGTCAACATACACTCATGAGCTGCCTGGCAATGCGCCCATTGCCGATATACTTTTGGCATTAGACTGGGTGCAGCAACATATTCACGTGTTCGGTGGCGATCCCAGTCAGGTGACCATATTCGGTCAGAGTGCTGGGGCGGGCGTGACCAGTGCCTTGCTCCTGAGTCCACGCACCTCTGAGCAGCATTTTCAACGAGCAATTGTGCAGTCCGGTTCGATATTCGCCACCTGGGCGATTACTAAAGATCCAGCTGAACAGGCTCAGCGAATTTGCACCGAATTGGGCTGCCAGCGGTGCGAGGAGCAGGAACAGCTGTTGCGTTGCGTGCGTGCGGCTTCCGTGGTGGATCTGTTGCAGGCCACCAAAACGGAGAGTTTCTCACCTCTTGTAGGGGATCTGCAAGGCATTTTGCCGAATTACCCAGAGGAGCTGCTCAAGGACTATCAGCGTGCTGTGCCGCTTATGACGGGCTTCACACAACACGATGGCTCCTTTGTGCTCGCCTGTAAGTGGCCGGTCAATCGTCGTGAACGAATCCTTCAGTTAACTCCATAAGCCTTTCATTTACAGCGTATTACGATGCAGTCAAAGCCAAGATCTCGAATATCAGCGCTCTGAGTGTGCGTCAGTTCTCAGAGGGCATGGTCGACATGGCCAAAGACGGATCGGGCTTGGCAGATCATTTGCTTTATCGTCTGCTTTATACGCCGCAGCTTTTGGAAAGTCATGACCACAGAGACGCTTTGCCCGCCTATTTTGATGTGAGCTATTGGATATTTGAATCGAGCCTCAAACTATTTTCCATACTCTTCCACGCAGCTCACTTCGATAATTGCCATGAAGTCGCCCGTCATCAGCCTGGCAACCAAGCTGCATTCGCTTCAGTCGGCTGCTCCTGTCTATGTCTACAGCTTTGAGTACGAGGGTCAGCACACGCGCTTCGGCTACGAGTTTGGCAACTCGCATTATCCGTTCAATGGTGGTGCGCATCATTCCAACGATAATATTTATCTGTTTGCTACGCATCAGCTGCAGGAAGAGGACACGCTGATGGCGCAGAACATGGTCGAATTGTGGACATCGTTTGCCATCAGTGGAGTGCCCAAGAATCTGAACGCTTTAACTAGCCCCAGTGGACCCTATAATCGCCTTGGACTAGACATAACCCAAGGTGAAGATTTACTTAGGACGCTGACAGCCACGATTGATGATCCAGATAATGGTCGTTTACAGCGCAGAAATGTTAAGTTTTAAAATGTGGTCAGGGTGCTTGGTAAAATGGGCTTTATATTACAGTACATTGCTAAAATATTATTATATATAGAGAAAAAAATAAGAGTTGAATATAGCTTGAACAAACGAAAAAAACTAACTCGTAACGGACTTATTTTAAAAATACAAAAGTAAAAAGCTTCCGTTTTCATTTATCATTAACATACATTAATATGTTAAGATATATAAAAGTAGTAATGGAAACATCAGATAAACTGGAATAGTTGTGGCAGCTCTGAATAACATTTACTGTACTTGTAAAATCACACTATGCTAAAAAGCTGTTATTAGCATTCGTGTGCTATGTTATTTAGCGGTAAATGTAAATGGCGAGCTGTTATGTGAACACTAAACACAGATACTTCGTCTTGGCGCATTTAATCAGCCAGAGTAGAACTTTGAATCATTACAAGTGAATTTAAATCACTTTGATAGCGCGAATAAACTTATAATAAGTTCATATATAGTATAAAGATAGCTAGACAGATAGACGAACATGTCTTTTCCGTATAATCTAATCAAATCTAATCTTAACTTTGCTCCACAACTAGTCGATTTAGAGGCTTAAGTAGGCAGCCTTTTAGATTTTCACAATTTTCCCAGAATTTACAAATTCAGTTGCCTATGCCCCATAGCAGCTGTGGTAACAAACGAATATTGGGATTCCAATTATATGCTCTTTAACATGATGTGAACTTGTTTAGCCTAAGTTAAGAAGGTCAATGCTCACCTTGCCATTGAGTTCCTCATTTGGCTGTGCTGTGGCCACAATATTGGAGCAGTAGCGATCAATGTTCTTCCCACAGGCCATCTGCAGCGTAGGATTGAAACGAAAGTCTGTATTTTGTTCGATCATTCGATTGACGACTACCAAGTGGCAGCGCTGGTCAAAGTTGGGATCATCCTTGTAGGTCTTCAGGCAGTCCAATAGCTGCACAGATTCTGTGTTGGGGCAAAATTTGTAGACCATGTCCTTGCAGGTGTTGATCAGTGTGTAGTCCGTGCCACTGTCACCCAGCTCCGAGCGCTTGATCATAAATATCGCATGATGGCAGGCCTTACCCAGGTTTGAGGTTTTTTGTATAAGACATTCCAAGGCCTGCGGAATAATTTGATTAATGAATATGCTACAAGCAAACTAATCGGTTTAATTTTGGGTGTGTCTGGTGGTGTTATAGAATTAAAAATGACTCGGATGACTTGCATTTTTATTCACCTGACCGGGGCCTTTTTGATCTGAACAGAACTCCTTTAATTCATTCTTGCAGGCATTGCCCAGCTTGGGATCTAGCACAATACTTTCGCGCTGCTGATACAGCTGCGACTTGACCTGTTGCCGACAATCTTTGGGTATCTGATGGCGTTGCAAACGTATGGTATCGTTGCGAATGACTTCACTCAGGCAGGCAACCACCTCATTTTTGGTGGCGCTGGCCCCGCAGAAGCGCACCACATGTCGACGGCACGCCTCCTTGAACTTGGTGGTAAAATGATAGCTCTTCAGTGAGATTATCTGAAAGTGCTCAATGGCGGCGCGACAACCTTTGTTTAAATCGGCGTCGTTTTTGTGCGAGATAAGGCAGTCCATCATGTTGCCTATAAGGAAAAGTTACAAAAGAGCATGAGCTAGGTTGCAGCTACTAGAAAGTATAACTAACCATTATCCTTGCCGGTATTAAGTATTTCCGTACAATGTTTTTGCATTGCCTCCGAACAAGCAGCCATAATAACCGGATTCAGTTCGACGTGAGCGGCCTCCTCTTCCGTGTATTTGGTCACCACCGTTTTACATTCGGGCTGCAGTTTCTCAAGCATGTTCTGCAGGCACTCCATTTCGGTGCCCTTTTCTGTGAGCTCGCCGCAGTATTGCGACAAATCGGAGAGGCAATAATCCTCCACCTCGGGTATTAGATCCACGGAAATGGCACGCTGCCGCATCACACGCTTGACTTCCCTAAAGCAGTCCTTGCGCAACGTCTGATGCTCATCCTCGCTATAGGCCATGCGATGCAGGCAGGGCAGTATCATGGGGCCACGTTCGGGATCCATTTGGACATCCTGTATATCGTCCCATTGGCGCTTGGCACGACAGTACTTGACGGCATCGTCGCGACAGTGCTTGTAGAGCTGTGGATCCAGCTTAAAGTCGCGCGCCACAAAATACTCAATGATAAGCAGCGCCTGCTCACATTCAGGCCGCATAACGGGCGTGCCTATGCGCTCCATTAGGCAGCTCATGACACGCGCTTCACCGCCCTCAACATCCTTGCAGGCGACATCCACAACTTTTTTGCAGGCTCGTCTCAGTACGGGATCGACGCGCCAATCCTCGCCCGCATCGCTAACCTTGATAAGCGTTTCAAGTCCACGCTGGCACTGAGATGTCACACGTCGCTGTGGCCGCCGCGCACGCACATGATACATCAGACAGTGTATTATTTCGCCGCCAGAGCTGGAGAGGCCGTTAACCAGTTGCGATTTGTGCTCGTCCGGACAGAATTTGGGTATGTCGTCAGCGCAGTCGCTGAGCAGCTCCGGCGATAGCTGATAGTCGGTCATCAACATGCGCCGATGGTCATTCAGTTCTACAAGGCACTCGGGAGCCACTTTGGTGCCGTTCTTTGCCACAGACTCTAGGCAAAGCAAGATTTGAGCCAGTCGCACCTGCTTGTCCTCGGAAACGCCGCGTCGGCAATGATGTAGCTTGATTTCATCCTTGCAGGCCTTGGCTAGACCATGTGACACACGATAATCACGTCCCATTTGCTGATCACGCAACGATATCTGCCCCGCACAGTGGCTGCTCAGTGATGGATCGTTCTTGTGACGCACCAGACATTTCAACGCACTTGGTGTACCGGCGCGTTCCTAGAAAATGGAATATGAGATTAGTCCAATTCAAGGGTGGTTCTGTCATACTCACTTGTGGGCAGAGTGCCGTCAGGTCCCCGGAACAAACCCGAAACAGCTCCAGCATGCCACGTTGCTGCTCAATGGCATTTATAGCCACTTTGCAGTTGAGGTCCATGGGCGATGTTTGACTCGAATGCGCCACCAGGCATTGGGCAGTGCCCAGCTGGGAGAGCAGGGCTGGTAAATGCTCCACATTCATGCGTCCACATTTATGCTGCTCAACCAGAGAACCGCAAGCTGTATAGAAGTCATCAATGTTGGCATAGTCCTCACCCAGGGCCGTGTGTGCGCGGCGCAGCTGCTGCTGGCAGGTGTTGCTCTGTGGCAGTTCCTGACGCTTATCCTCCAGGCAGGCCCACAGATCGACAGAGTTTAGGCAGCCTAACAACTTGCTCTGCTCTTCAGCACAATAGCTGGGCAGCAATGTGTGTTCCACCCAAGAATTTAACTGCAGCTGACGTTGCTGCAGCCACAGCGCATGCTGGCATGGTTCCGGCAGCGCCTCCAGCTGGCTGGAACTGAAACTCAATACGCACTCGAGCATGGCCAAATTGTCGCTGGTCTTCTGGTGTGTGCAATATTTGTGCAGATCCTGACAGTCCGCCAGATCGATGATGCTGTGCAGCTGCGTGGCAGCAGCAGCAGCCTTATTGGCATCTATCTCAATGGAGGCACGGCGGGAACGATTTTTGGCAAAGATCGTGACATCGTCACCAGTTGCCGCCCACAGCCACGACAACAGCAACAAGCATTCAAATTTCATTTTTGATTCACACTCTGGCAGTTTGGTTCTTTTCTTTAACTTCAACTGGACATTTAAGCATTTGCGTTAATAAGTTCCACAATGCACACAATAATAATTATCTGTATATCAATTCGTTACACGTTTGCTGTGCATTAAGTTCTCAAAGTGCAACAATAAATCGACAAAAGGCCGGTAGAAAATGCAGCGTTTAAGTTCTTATCATATTTTGAGGCGAACTGTGAGTGCAGTGGATTGGATTAGCCCCGTAATGCTACTTTAAACGGGGGCAACATTTAAAATGTTAATATCAGCAATATATTTTTTGTGAAATAGTGAATTATTCGCTTTTTCTTTTTTATTTTAACACTAAACTTGTACAACAGCTGCATACAGAATGCTAATAAGAACAATATCTATCGATTGCTCTTTTGTTAGCAATCGATAGAAAGAGTATGCGAACACTTTTCTTATCGAAATTTGTGACGTCAATAGATGAAGTTAATGTCTCGAGAAGTCCCAGAAACTTTGTTTGTCATCATGTAAATTTTTGCAATATATTTTTATTGATTTTTTTTTATTGCATAAATATTTTTTCTGTTGCGTGTAGTACTCATTCATTCGATACTTTTTTGTAGCCATATAGACGCCCATCTCTAACTGCCTATGAGTCGTTCGAAAACAAAAGAAAGTATATTATTTGCTGCCAAGCATTAAACATTTCAATCCAGTAATTGTATGTAGTGCACGCATAAATTAATTAAACTCATTCAATCATTCAAACATCATACTTACGGTCTCCATATTGCGAACCTTTAAAGTAACGTCCTCCAACTACGGCATCGAAGAGGGCGTCTTCAAACGCTGAGGAGGCGGCGGCTAACGAACGCACACCGCTCATGGACGAACACGTCGTCCCATCGTCGTCGACGGCGGCGGGCGCCGATGGTAGCCAGAGCGGCGCAGCAGAGCGTTTGGAACGTCCTCCAAGGCGGCAACAAAAACAGAAAAGCAGCAATTATGGCTCCAATGGGCAGCTGGACAGCAATAATGCAGATCATACTGACGGGGTAGGCATACTTTCATATTCTGCGTTCACCGCTTAGCTAAAATTTGAGTTTTGCAGCCTGTGCTAGCCGTGCCCTACGTTGTCGTACGCGGAACTAACTCTCAGCCTCCAAGACTTAGCGCGGGCGGCGGTGATGGTGGTCCTGGGCCGTCACAACAGGAGCTCGAAGAAGAGCTGGGTCTTAAATATGGTGCCCAACATGTCATCAAACTATTTGTGCCCGTTTCGTTGTGCATGCTGGTCGTTGTGGCTACCATTAACTCGATTAGCTTTTACAACAGCACAGATGTATATCTGTGAGTAGTTCGCAATACTAACATATATAATTAAGAAATCAATATTTATGTCTCTGGCATTTAACTTTTTATATGACAGGCTTTACACGCCGTTTCACGAGCTGTCGCCGGAGCCGAGTGTCAAGTTATGGAATGCACTAGCCAACTCCTTGATCCTTATGAGCGTGGTTGTTGTTATGACCATTGTACTTATTGTTTTGTACAAGAAACGCTGCTATCGCGTCATACACGGCTGGCTTATACTGTCCTCGTTTATGCTCCTATTCATTTTCACGTACTTATACTTGGAGGAGCTGCTACGTGCATACAACATTCCTATGGACTATCCAACGGCAGTACTGGTTATGTGGAACTTTGGCGTGGCTGGCATGATGTCCATACATTGGCATGGTCCACTGCGTTTGCAACAGGGTTATTTAATATTTGTAGCTGCTTTGATGGCCCTGGTCTTTATTAAATATCTGCCGGAATGGACAGCCTGGGCGGTGCTGGCAGCAATCTCCATATGGGGTATGGTTCATTATGAACACATTTTTTTTAGCTGGTATTTAAATTTATCTCAATTCTAGATCTCATAGCCGTACTATCGCCTCGAGGACCGTTGCGCATTTTGGTAGAAACCGCACAGGAGCGCAACGAGCAAATCTTTCCTGCTTTAATTTACTCCTGTAAGTGCGCTACTTTTGTATGGTTATTGCCAACCACTGTTTTATTGCCAATTTTCTTGCAGCCACCGTCATTTACACCTACATGGGCACACATTATACGCCGGAACAGCCACTGCCAACAGCCACATCCTCGCCGTCATATAGTAACTCTACAACAACAACGCGCACCACACAAAACTCGTTGGCATCGCCGGAGCCAACTACAGGTGATAACACTTCACGTCCAGGTAATTCGCGCGCCAATCAGCGTCAGCAGGACACTCAAGCGGCTGCTGAAGGTATGCCACTTGTGACATTTAAAAGAAATTTGCACGGAAACGGTACATATGCATTTATTTTTTATGATTTCTTTTTAATCTCTTAAAAGCTTAGTTGAGCCTCTGTACTATGAACTCATTTAATGTGTTGTTAACTTTAAATTGCGCCTAAGCTTGTCTCAGATAGAATTAAATAAGTGGCTTCCTGCCTTAGGCGCAATTTCTAGCGCAAGCTCTTTGGCCTTCTTTTTTAGTTGCTTAATTGGTTAAAGGATGCTTCTAGTAATCTGTTTTAACCTTTTTAAGAAGCTCAGAATAAAATCATTCTTTGTGTTCTATTTTACAGAAGAGGCCGCTGGTTTTACACAAGAATGGTCTGCCAATCTCAATGACCGCGTGGCTCGTCGACAAATTGAGGTACAAAGCACTCAGAGCGGAAATGGACGCCTCGCCAATGAATATCGTACGGTCACAGCACCTGATCAATCTCAGTCGGAGTCGCAAGAAGAACGTAAGTAAATGTAGTAAAAATAGTTTTATACCAATACCTATTTGACTTTTTATTTGTAGGTGGTATCAAACTTGGTCTGGGCGATTTCATATTCTATTCCGTGCTGGTGGGCAAAGCCTCCAGCTATGGCGACTGGACAACAACAATTGCCTGCTTTGTAGCCATATTGATTGGCCTTTGCCTAACGCTGCTGCTCTTGGCCGTTTGGCGCAAGGCACTGCCAGCCCTGCCCATTTCAATTACCTTTGGCCTGATTTTTTGCTTTGCCACTAGCGCTGTGGTCAAGCCGTTTATGGAGAACCTTTCAGCCAAGCAGGTGTTTATATAAAAGACAATTAGCGGATAAATTTGTGTACTAGTATTCAGTGTAACCGTAGTCCAAGCTCCCGTTTGCAATACATTCTCTACATTTAATAAAGGGTAATAACAAACACAAAAAATGCAATGTTTATGTTGCCTTTAACTTGACTATTGTTTTGTCTACCAAATTTACGAGCCATCCTGGCTCCAGGCCATGAAACAGTTGTCGTGCATCCTTGGCTGCTGTGAGCATTTCGTAATTAACATCATCTTCTATGCGCGGCAGCTCGTAGCCGTATTTTTGTGCCAGCACCAGTCGTTCCTTACTGATCTCCTCGGGATTGGCCAAATATCCGCGATTCTTGGCATCTGTGTAGTACTCAACAGCATCCTGTGGCGGCAGCATGCGTTGTGGTATGGGCAAGCCCTTCTCAAACCATTTTTTCGGATTGGCCAGAATATGAAGACTACGTGGATCGTAGTAGGCAGTACGGATGACACCACCATTGCGCTCCACAGCAGCTATGACAGCTTCACTGGCGTGCTGCACCTCAATGTTAATCTTGGCCTTGAAATTGTCCAAACCATCGTCCGTCAGCTGAAATCCATACTGAAGTTCCGCCGGCTTCAGCGACATTAGGCCAGAATTGCAAAGGGTGGCAATGTCAATTGGTTGGCTGATATCAATACGGTTGGTGTCAATTAACACCTGCAGTTGTAGCATCGAAATGGGTGGATATTGGCGACGCATGTGGTGGCCCTTGTAGTAGGGCTCGTAGGGAAAGCGTAAGTAGAAGGGCTGGTTGCCTGTTTCGTAACCCAGTCGCATGAAATTTTGCCGCTGGCCGGATCCCTTGTTGCCGGCACCGTGTTTATCGCCACCATGCTGGGCACGTCCGCGTTTGTCCTGAAAAATCGTGCAATTTGTAGTGATAATCCCAAACCGCCTTTCAATGTTGTTATTCAACCGGCCCCTTGACCACTTACGTTCTGTTTCGAGTTGGGATTCGGTCGCAGGTTGCCAATTTGTACACGCGGCAAGGTACGTAATAATTTTAAGGCCTTCTCAGAGCTCTCACGCAAATGTGCCATCTGAAGATTAATTGATTTAATTTAAATATTTTAAATAAAAATCAACACGAGAACATATAAATTACACTCAGTCGCTTATCAACACTATCGCTCTGCTCTTGGCAAGCACTGGTTACCAGCGTTGCCACCCGGTGCACAAAATCTGGCTAACATAAATCTGTCTTCCAGCCCTAGTATCTCTGAATTTTTACACAAAATATAAACAAAAAAAATTGAGATAATAAATATAAAAAATAAATTATTGGCAATATGAATTGTGCCACGTGTCAAGGCAATAGTGAGCAAACAACAAAATGCTTTTTAAAGGCGCTGGACACCATTAAACAACACTTTTTGAGTAAGCCGGTTTCTTATTATGGCTCTAAGCTAGCCACCATAAATAATTATCATTTTCTTATAGTGATGCAGGGACTGTGTGTGGAAAAGGAAAATAGTATTAGCCTGTTAAATCAACGAAATGAAAAACTGCACAAGGCCCTCGAAATGCTGCGGCAAGGGCAGGAGAACAGTGTCAAGTCAAGCCCCAAGCGTCGTAGACTCTCGCCCAAAAAGGCGAAAAAACAAAAATCGCGCCACAGCAACGCACTGGTGGATGCCTCTCCCCTGATGCCTGAGAGTCAGGACTCGCTGAACATGAACATAGCACTGCAACTAGATGATGAAGAGGAAGAAATCATAACAGAAACGGAGCCAGCAATCAGTCCCTACAAGCCCTGGAGCACACGTCGCAAGCTTAACACACGGAACTGCGAAAATGAGCAGCCAACAAGCACAACAACAACAGCCGATACCAACTGCCCCTGGCTGGGCAAAGTACCCAACGACAAGCTGCCACTGGGCAAGACAAAAATGTCGCTGACATTGCGCGGCCATTCACCGAGACTGAAGCAAACGCGCCTGCATTTTGATTCCAACAAGGCGAACAATCCGGTCTGCGATAAAGAAGTTATTGAATCCAGCCCCAATTTGTATACCTCGCTGAAGCATGCCAAACAGTCACGTTCGCTTTTACAGAGGTGAATAGCCGACCGGGTTAATATTTTAGGTTCTATTAAAAAAAAATAACCTTTGATAAGTTTGCAGAGCCGGCAACAGCAGCGCCTTAGACATGAAAACCATCGCAAAAAGCGAAACGATACCCAACAGCAATAACAAGATCCTTTTTGACATGGATGACGACGAGTCGTTCTTTGATCTGT